CGTATGTGGCACATGGCCAGTTTAGCGTGGGTTCTCCGAGCCCGTAGGCTCGGCCAAAAATATTTCCTTTGAACCCGTATAAACGGTTTCAGGGCCTGTCTACCTCCCAAGACGAAACCTTGCCCTTCGGCAAAACTTCGTCCGGGTTCCTCTCCGCCGAAGCGGAGAGTTTGACAGTCATGAACGGTTTGGAGCACCGTTTCCCTAATAGTTATTTTCTAAGCCTAGCTCAGATGTGGCACAAGGCCGAAAGTATGGGGAACCCAGTGAGGATCGAACTCACTACTTTGTCGTAATTATTCTAGCGAGACAAGCTTGTTAACCATAACACCACCTCAAGGTGCCCCATACGCATTATTACTAAATCATTGTGCCAACAAATAATAGACTTCAAAGGAAAATTTTACTGAACAATTTAGCTATATTTTTATGTTATATGTTATACAGTGCGGTATTCTAGTATGATTTTCAATCAACTTTATTTGGATTTATTCTAGAAATTGTAAAATTTTGAAGTCAGTTTGCAAGAAATTAGGTATTTCCGTACATTTTTCAGACAATTAAATGCTAAAAAAAAAGCCATGGATCTAATTTTTGGTGCCAGTACTTCACATCAGATCCCAGCTTTCAAACTGAGTACAATGTTGAATTTTCTAAAATAAGTGAAAATTGTTATCGTGTGACAATAGTTAAGATTTTTGCCTGAAATCTGAACATTCGTCTTCCGAAAGGATTCGAATGATCAAGTAGTCTTTGAGGAATGATTTAGTTAAAAATGTTGGCACCGAACTTTCTAACTTGACTGAGAATCTACTGAAGGTCGTCCATGTTCTGGACGGCCTTTAAAAACAACTCTCGAGGATTTTGTTAGAAGAAAATCAATGATTGGCTGTGGGAGTTTTAGAAGAATGGAGAATTCACGGACTCTCTCAAAAGTAGCCAACTGTTTTTAATATCAAGACTTTTTGTTCATCCCTCCTGCCAAGTGCGGAGTCTTTTGGTAAAATATTGTATCACCCAAGTCTGTCAGGCCCACGCCGTCAAGCTCTGATCCTCTACGACGTCTAAAGCAGAAATCCCCGTTGAAATGCCGGGAAAGAGATGAAGCAAAAAGAAACGAATCTTCAAGGGTGATTTGACAGACTGTTTTTAAAAAAATGGATGGATCATTGGAATAAATGTATGCTGTCCAAGGGGTCTACTTTGGAGGAAATTCAGGCGCCATTGCTCTAAGTAGTCTATTTGTCGTTAATATCAAATTGAGGAATGATTTCTGTTCAGAGCCCTTATATTTATGAGTTCGACAGAGACATTTCACTTACTTCGTTTGCTAAACTGATTATTTTCTGATTCAAAATAACACACTACGCGGGATGAAATTAAAAAAAAAAAGAAACTATTTGAAGAATGTAAGTTGCTGGCTATTGTAGATGAAAATAAACAAATTATTTTAAAAATGGTCGAATTCTGTCTGCAGAAATTTAGCAGGGTGGGGATTAAAATCCTATATTTTTGCCGCGTGAGGGATGGGGAACTTAGTATAACTCGTCGATTTGAGATATCGGGTTTTCTGGATATGGACGAACGAGCATGTGGAATGTACAAAAGTGACTCACAATTAAATGAAAGGAAAGAGAATTTGGCTTTTCTGGGCTAATTTTGGAGACAAGAAGACGCAAATTAATGAAGACAAATGTCCAAATTTTGGCACCGGAATTTCAGTGGCAAGATGATTAATTTGTCTTTTCTTTCCTTTCCGCCGTCTTTCTCGTTTGTTTGTTTCCTATTTGGGAACAACGACGTTTTTGAAAAATCACTGTCTTTTTTCTTTCTTTCTTTCTTTCGTTCTTTTTCCTTTCTTTCTTTTTTTTCTTTCAACATTGTTATTTGTCTTGTTTCTTTCTGAATTGTGAATTCTTTTATTTTTTAAATACATTCTCCTTTTATATCTAAATATCTTTCTTTCGTTCTTCCTTTGCCGTTTTTTGCTTGTCTCATTCAAATTGTGGATTTTTTTTATATCTGAAATTTATTCTCTCTTGTTTTCAAATTAAAATATCTTTTTCTTTTGCTTTTTTCGGTCTGAATTGTGAATTCATTTTTAGCTTAAATACATTCTTCTTTTATATTAAAAAATTCTTTCTCGTTATTTGCTTGTTCCTTTCTGATTTATAAATAATTTTATATAAGAAATTCATTCTTCCTTTGTTCTGTCTATCTTTCTGTGTCTGTCTACCTCTTTCTTTCTTTCTTTCTTTCTTTCTTTCTTTCTTTCTTTCTTTCTTTCTTTCTTTTTGCCTGTTTCTTCCAGAATTGTGAATTTTTTTATATTCGAAATTCATTCTCTTTTTATATTAAAAATATTTTTCTTTGTTCTGTCTTTCTTTCTTCCTTTCTCGTTTTTTTTTTTGCTTTTTTTCCGAATTGTGAAATTATTTACATTTGAACTTTATTCTCTCATGTTTTGAGTTTAAAATATCTTTCTTTATTTCTTTTTTTATAACTTTTTCTTTCTGTATTCTAAATTATTTTATAGCTTAAATTCATTCTGTCTTTTATATTAAAAAAATATTTTTTCTTCCCATTTTTGTTGGTTTCTTTCTGAGATATGAATTCTTTTACATCTGATATTTATTCTCTTTTATTTCAAATATCTTTATTTTTTTCTGCTTTTCTTTTCTTTTTCTTTCTTTCTTTCTTTCTTTCTTTCTTTCTTTCTTTCTTTCTTTCTTTGTCTACTGCTTTAATCCCTTTCTCCTTCTTTAGTCCTCTCTTGATTTTATTTCATTCTCTTCTTCTTCCTTCCTTTTTCTCATTTCTTTCTTTCTTTCTTTCTTTCTTTCTTTCTTTCTTTCTTCTTCTAATCATCAACATGTTTAGATCTTCTTTTATTTTTTATAGATATTTTATTCACTTTTCTATTTGTTCTTTTTTGAACAGACAAAGAGACGGAGAGAAAGAGAGGTGGATACGAGCAGACTAAGTTAAACAATTATTCCTTTTAGGTGGCCAAATCTTAATTGCCCGATAGAAAACGAGAGAAATAATAGCAGGATGAATCCGTTACTAACTTGATGTCCTATTTTAATGACCTTGTGCCAGGTAAAAATTGTGATCTGATTCGTGAAATATTTACGTCACTCTCTCCAATGTTCAAGGTCTGTCGTTATGCACAAATATAAGACAGAATTAATGTGATTTTAGTGCTGCAAGTCCAGTTCTTTGGGTCATACTAATCTAAATCAAAAACATGTCCTCCATCAACAAATAAATAAAATAGGATCCATAGATTAACAGATTTTAATTAAGTTAAATCTTCGAGAACTAGAAGTTCTACCAGGATTTATTACTGGCGGCCACAATCTTAACAACATAAGAGATACAGATGATACAGTTTTGATAACAGAGATAGAAAAAAAAAAAGACAAAACCTTTTCCAGAAATTAATGAAGAAACGCTAGAAGAAAGGGCGAAACATGAAAACAGAATTCTTGCTTGTTAGCAAAAGAAACAGTCGATCATGCAAATTACAAATTGGAGATAACAAAATCAAACAAGATCAACAATTTAATATAAAGCGTTTTAACGGAGGAAGAAAATGCGACACTGATATCTGAAGGCGTATTGGGGTAGAGAAAGATGCCTTCCAAACCTAAGAAAAGTATTAAGAAACAGAAAACAATTCGTTAAAAACAAAGAAAATAGTACTGAACTGTTATGTAATATCAGTCCTCCTATATGGCGATGAATGCTGGACAATCTACTCACATACGAAGAAGAAACTTGAAGCACTATACATGTGGTTCTACAGAAGGATATTGAGAATACTATAAACCGAACATACGTATCGACAGTGAATTCTGTAAACATACGAAAATAGAAAGGGATGTAAGAGAAGGATGTGTTTTCTCACTGGGATTATTCACCCAATACAATGAGGCGATTCTGAGAGAATTAAAAGTCCTACTATGATTTATTATTGACAGCCACAATCTTAACAACAGAAGGTATGTAGATGACACAGTGTTGGTAGCAGACACAGGAAACTAGAAGAACTCCTACAGAAGGTAGTGAAGAAAAGCGGGAAGAAAGGTCTAAACGTCAAGATAGAATACATGATTGTCAGCAAAATATAACAGATTGGGATAGCGAAAGACGCCTCTCTATAGCTAAGCAAATAACATTTACTAAATGACAGTCTTCAATCGTTTGGTGTAATATTCAACAGGTTTTAAGCAACTTTCCCGAGGAATCCCAAGCCATTTTCCTTGGCTTATCTTACAATCACTCGCAGATTTGATTTGTTTTTGTTTGGTTGTTTTTGTTTAAAAGCATATCAACGTCTATGGGGTATTTAATGCCGAAATCTTGTTTTTATTTTATTTTATTTTTGGGGGTAATAATAATTTAGTGATACAAGTCTTATTAATTAACCCATAGCTGGGGGAGAAGAAGTGGATTCAAACCTTTCCCATGACGTGAATATGACGAACTCAACGTGAATTGGAACTTGACTGTCTGATTAACGATTCTGAGTCAGTATCCATTACACCACACGCACATCCAAGCTTACAGCATCTGGTATTCCCAAGCGGTCATGATTCGGCTCGAGTTGCTGAACTTCTGGGATCGTACGGGAACCGTTGTTTTAACGTGATATGGCTGTAAGCCCTCAAATTTGATTATTTTCTGGCATGGAACCTAGTCTTAAGCTCACCCCCACTCATTTAAGTCAGAGAATTATACAGTAAGATTCTTTGGTGGTCTAGGATTAATTCTTCGCCAGAAGCGACGTAGGCTTCGGGTTGTTGTCGTGTAAGAGGAAACCCCGATTCAGACGACGTTTTGCGGTTGAATACTTTAGGTTTTCTTTAGAAATCTTATCGTGTCCTTCATCTGACATGATTTCATTTATTCTCACAAGAATCCCAGATTCGGATGCCCTGAAGCATTCCTACAAAATTCAGAGATTAAATTATAATACGTCACAGTTTTTCACTATGAGGACATTGTCCTTTGGATTATATGACTCTCCTTTCTTTCTTCAAACACAGGTAACATCTCCAGAGCTATAGTTTAATCTCATGTGACTAAATAATTAAAAAAAAAAATATCCCAAGCAAGGCGATAATGCCACTAAGACGCAAAAGACTACTGGGAGGGAAGGAGAATGAGAAGACTTTAGTGTGGAGAAAGGACAGGTTTCTGGAAGACACAAGATGGCGATTGGATTTGCATTTAGATTTTGAAGATTATAGATGGCAGAGAAACAAGAAACCAGAAGATACTTCCACAGACAAGAAGTGCGAGAAAAGATAGTATTAGAATAATACATAGGGTTAGATCTAGCTAGTTCAACAATAAAATGGTGAGACCTCGTAATACGCTTAAAATGATGCAGTCGGTGTACTGTGGAGGAAGGATCATCAGATTAATCGTCATGAAAATATTTGTAGAAAAGACAGAGGGAAACAACGTCACAGCGATGGGAAAGTGACTGTAGTCGAGATTGCAGGTCAGGCCCTTCATTATAGACCCTTCTTTGGATTTTGTCCAAAATCTAGGGATCTATAGCCGAAACACCAGTCCAGATATGGTAGCAATATTTAATGCGCGGGATGGGAGATTCATAAATGTGCAAGATGGATTCTGGCGGGAAAATTGTCTGGCAGTGAACCAACTTTCCCAGCACTAGACGTAGCAATTGATTCAATATAACCTCTCCATTTTATGCTTCTAATATCCGTCATCTTTCCCCACGTTTTCCTTATCATTATAAATTCCAGTGGCTGCCTTCTTTGAGAATTCACTTACAAACTTCGCTAATTGTCTTCATAGTTATTCTAAGACCTTTTAAACACATCTCTCACTAGTTTTTTCCCCCAAAATCTTTGAATTCTTTTTCTTTGTCAGGCGTTCTCTCTAATGGACAGCTTTTTGATCTTTGATAATATTTTTGGAAATGTTTGATAACTTTGTATGCACTTTTCCAGCTTTAAGATCTTCAGCAATTCTTTTTGTCGAGTCTAAACTAATTTCTTTTGATTTTCACATGATGCGTTCATAAATGTCTGCTAAAAACGCTTAAGTCATTATACTGCGTGTACATTGGAATCCACAAGCCTAACTCAATAAGTGAAGGCATATCGGCGCCCAACAGTAGTTTATGCTATGGCTCCATAAGAAAAGGAGAGTTCTTAAGAGAGGTTTATAATATTGATCTCAGTTACGGTTTGTTTGAAATAATTTTATTATTGGGCGAAAATACAAAGATATTTACTCTTACTGAAGAATTAAAAAAAAAAGCTAATTTTGGTTAAACAATTCTCATTCTATTAAAAAGCATCTATGAAACATTTTTAAAAGAATTCATTTTTCTTGGGGTTGCTAATAACTTTTCTAAATTGCACGACATTTATGTTTATATATTCTTATGAAGAAACTGATAATATAACATCAATCATTTAAGTGATACATTTTACATTTATATTAATCACACACACACACACACACACACACACACACACACACACACACACACACACACACACACACACACACGGTGAGAGGGATAAATTATCGCCATTTTATATTTTAATTTCGCGCATGCGCGTTGTTTGTTTTTGAAACACAGTCTAGTAGGGTCAGTTGAGCAGCGTTTTTGAGAAAAAAAACACCATGGCCCAATTCCCACCGCCAGAAATTTAGAAACGGCATGATGTACTGCAGAAGATAACGAAGTTATCTAGAGGGTTGTGGCTGAAGGCAATGGCGATTTTACTCGTTAAATTTATACTTTAGTATTTCAAGATATTTTGGGGCAATTTTGGCAAACATCTGTTAAAACGAAATGTCAGTGTTATTTTAATTTTTGCGTAATTTAGACAATTTATCCATCACACTCAGTATATATATATATATATATATATATATATATATATATATATATATATGTGTGTGTGTGTGTGTGTGTGTGTGTGTGAATTGGATCAAATATAGATTAAATATGAATCGATATCCGACAGAAGGATAGGATAAGAAAGAAATAGGAAACATTTATAAATCTAACATGTTTCGCTTTTATTATTGATTCTCTGATGACGCTTTAATAAAAGCGAAACATGTTGGATTTAAAAACGTTTCCTATTTGTTTCTTATTCTATCCCCACCCGTTTCTGTCTCTGACGAGTTTTATTTCCAGAGTCTTTGAAATTTTTTGATTCTACCTCTGCCAGACATGTTCTCTAATGGCAAATCTCTTTGAACTGCTTGATAATATTTTGCACACCGGTTCTTGACACTTAGAAATGTTTGCATAACACACACACACACACACACACACACACACACACACACACACACACACACACACACACACACACACACACACACACACACACACACACACACACACACACACACACACACACACACATATACATACATATATATATATATATATATATATATATATATATACTTGGCCGGATAATGATCTTTTGAGGCCCCTAGGCTAAGGAAATTATGTTAATTCAGACGGAGACACTCTCTAACTCACCCACACATTTTGAATATTTCTTTACTCATGATATTGGGTTGGTGCGTAATTATCAGGCGTTTTTGCTGTTAATAAAAATTGCTGTTTTGTTTCCTTTTTTTTTAATAAAAATATTATTTTATTTTCAGGTTATAAAAATTCGTGTCGATAATCATACCCACCGGAATAATCATTTAAAATGTTATTGTTGAATTGTTATGTTTTTTTTTCATAATAAATATTATTTAAAAACGCCTGATAATTATGCACCAATATATTTTAGCAACATTTACATAGCTTAAAGTAAACTTGTTACAAGTTTTTTTTAAATAAGCTATAATAACTATCTTTTGTCTTTCAATAAAAACATTCTTTCATAAATACGACTATTTTACTGTTTATGGCCAACGAAATTAGAACATATTTTAACAAAACCATAGTAAAAAACAAAATATTTTATAAGCAGCATCAAGACAATAAAACAAAGTAAATGTGTGTTTGCATTGATATCATTTCAGTTTTATAAACTATTTACAAATTATAACAGTTAGAAAATGAAAATCACTGCTTTATAAAAATTTTCAAATTTTAAACATTTCAAACATGTTATCTACTTGAAACACAATAGCACAAACTAAAACATTCTTTCCCCTGATTTACTTTCTGCAAAGTCAAATAAATATGAGTTTGTCATATTGGGATCATTTCAGTTTATACAACAATTTAGAAGTTATAGCATCTAGAAAATTAAAATCACTGCTTTATAAATGAAAAATGAAAAGAAATTTACACATTTTTGACGGGTCGTCTTAAGCATTTTATGTAAAATTAACGAAGTGAGGAAGTGACGGGGGGAGAGAGAAAACATGAGTGTGTTAAATGTACCATTTCAATTCTTTATCCCTAACCCCACTTGGCGTGGGCCAGACATCGCTCAACTTAACGTATGTTATCTCTAGATATGGATGGGTAAGGGGTGAAGAAGAAAACCGGCATAAAAGGTTTTATGTAAAATTAATTACACAAAAATGTGTAAATTTCTTTTCATTTTTCATTTCAACCTTTGGAAGTAAAGTCTGATGATCCGTAGTCCTTTTAAAGGGCTGTGGTGAAATAATTTATTACATGGAACCTTAAAGTGGTCTGTTTTATTCAAACAAAATATATATATATATATATATATATATATATATATATATATATATATATATATATAATCAAAATTATATAATCAAAAATACGTTTGAAAACTTTGCTTCCTCCCCCAAAACAAGGACCACTTCACTTTACGTGTGCTGATACCTGGATCGTCTCCGACAGCCTGTAAATGTGTTCCTAGTAGTCGTGCGTACGAGCGGATCTTGGTTTCCTCGACCCATAGTTTGTGGTGCCACAGACCCTGTCTTAGCAAAGCGACGATAAAGAGCAGCAAAGTTTGGATGACTCAGCTGCCTTCAATCTGGAAACACAAACTGATACAACCGTGCAGCCTCGCGTCCATTACTATTCACGCGGCCGTATGTAAAAATCATATCTGCCATATGAATATCCAGCCATTGTTAAACGGGACACTACTCAGTTAACTCACTACTACATACGTTTGACTTGCCAAAATAAATACACGAATGGCAACTGTAACCTAGTCTACATGGCAACACGACGTCATCTACCGTAAGCTTTCTTAAAACTTAGCTCAAAAAAGAAGGATTTGCGGACATATGTTTATGTGGACTTTTCTTCTTGTTTTGGTATGAGGAACTCGCCCCCAAAGTTTTAAAAAGTATTTTTGATACACTATATATATATATATATATATATATATATGGAGTAAAGAGAACTTTTAACGGATGCTGCTGTTTTAATGCATCCGCTTTTCGTGAGAATTAAGAACAATGTCGACCAGCATGGCGTTTATATATCAAGTATATTATAAATTCCCTTTCTCTGTCACGTGCAGAGAGCCTAGGATTAAGAGACTCTAACTGATGCCAAATCGGTCGAGTTTCGATCCCGGCTTGAAGCATTCGGATGTCTAGCCACACTGATGATCTATGATACAGCGAAACAGTCTGTTTGTGGATGACTATATATATATATATATATATATATATATATATATATATATATATATATATATATATATATATATTTATCCCTCCTAAGAAAATCCTACTAGTAGTAAATACAAACATAATAATCTCATCCACATGTATGTAAAAAGAGATCAAACGATAATGGAAGCCTTAATAATAGAAAAGAAAACCCAACATTCAATAATATTAACTACGATCACGGCCACAGTGCGCTGACAGTGTTCGGAAAAATAAAACATCTCTATAATACTAGAAACATGCACACAATCCATACATCCCGTTAAAAAGTAAAAATAAAATCATCCGTGATAATGGCTAAATTACAGAACATATGGACATCGGAATTACAGAACACAAGAAAAATTAAATAAAAAGCTTAATTGCAGTATCTTGTCTGTCGACTTTAACGAAACATGCATAAATGAAGGATTGCTGCCTAAATACACACACACACACACACACACACACACACACACACACACACACATATATATATATATATATATATATATATACATATATATATACGTCTTAGCAGTTTGTGACTGGAAGGGATAATTCCGAGGATGATATAAAACCATGGAGAGATTAATGTAGACTACAGAGCATAATAATGATAATAAAAAAATAAAACCAAATGCTTCAATATTACTATATTAATACCGACCTTTATTTGAAGTAAGATCTCTTTTATTAAATGAATTTGAATCGACCTGGTTTGTCCTGATTAAAAACAACAAACCGTATCGGCCAATGTAAAATACAACCCAATATAAAAATCTCAAAACTCTAGAATAAATTCTCAGCTGGGGGAACCGACTACTACCGACCACTAATCCCTTAGCCTTTTCTTTACCCATCTCTGCTCTCTCCTCTTCCGTCCCCATTACCATCTAATGTGTCCGTCCGGTGTGTTTTCTCCATTTACGGAGGAGATTTCGATCTGAAGAGTTGAACACCTCGGTGTTCACGAAATAAATTATAATCGAAATGGATAATTAAAGTATCTGTCTTCTTCTTTTATATATATATATATATATATATATATGTGTGTGTGTGTGTGTGTGTGTGTGTGTGTGTGTGTGTGTGTGTGTGTGTGTGTGTGTGTGTGTGTGTCGGGGGTCATAAAATTTATTGAGAAAAGCATACATTTAGTGGTAATATTATGAAAATTAATTAATTAGTCATGGTGGTCGAAATGTTTTGTATGACATTTTGGCTTGACCTGCTTTCTTTTATGGTTTATGCCTTTCCCGGGGGTATTTACGCATAAGTGAATGTAACGAACCCGACTGGAATTCGAACTCTGCACTCCGAGTTGCTAACCCGACCTCACCTCTAAGATTGCAGCATCTGGTATTCGGAGAGCTGAATTCCAATGCAAGAAGTATCATAAAACCTGATAGATTCTCTACACCTTCGCCGCCATCCATTACACCAAACACCCCCACCCCTGTATGAAGGGGCTAGCACGTTTGGAGATATAAACACTATTTCATTATATATATAGATAGAAATGAATAAACGTAGGTAAGTAGGTAGATAAATCGACATGTGAGCCGATTTCATAATTGAGACACACATACGCATATATGAAGAGATACATGTATATTGTTGGATTGTTAATTTGAGCCGTAATTTGATACGTCTAATTCGTTCTCTTTTATTTGTTTTCTCACAGTTTCGTTCCTTCTTCAATTCTTTCTTCCTTTCTTCTCAGTTCTGTTCTGTTCTTTCTTTCTTTCTTTCTTTCTTTCTTTCTTTCTTAAAGAAAGAAAGCCTCTTTTTAGTTCTTTCTCTTTTTCTTTTTTACTTATATTCTTCCCTTCTTAAATTCTCTACTTTTCAAGTATCGGTCATTTTTTTTTTAGCTTTTTTTCTCTCTTCCGTTTGTAATTGTATTTTTCTCACAATTCTTTCTTTTTTTCTTTCTTTCTCTCTTTCTTTCTTTTTCGTGTTCATGTCTTTTTAGTCTTTTCTTCTGCCCTTTTTACTTAAAATAACTCAAACTGAAATTCATTCTTTCCTTTTCTGTTCTTTTATTGTCTTTTATAATATTTTTAATTCCTTTTCTGCTCATGCCCCAGCCACTCTGTTTTCTTTCTTTCTTTCTTTCTTTCTTTCTTTCTTTCTTTCTTTCTTCAGCACTTTTTTACTTCTTTTTTTAAAAATTCTTTTTCGATATGCACTTCATTTTTTCTTGATATCTGTCTTTTTCTAACAATTTGGTTTTTACTCTTTTTTTTTTAAAATTCATATTCTTTGTATCATTCTTTCTTTCAGTTTTCTTTCTTTTTCATTTCTTTCTTTCATTCTGAGTACGATACAAGTCAGTGAGGATCGTACTCAGTAATAATGCTAAGACAGTCATAATGATACAGGAAGTAAGTTTACGAAATATTACAACACAGGAAATGGTTTCTTTCTATTAACTTTCTTCCTTTTTGTTTCTCTTTCTCGGATTCTCCGATCTATCTATCTATCTATCTATCTATCTATCTATCTATCTATCTATCTATCTATCTATCTATCTCATTCTCTTAATATGTATCTCAGCCTTTTCTTTGTTTGTTTGTTTCTTTCTTTCTCAATCATCTTTTATTAGATTTTCTTTTTTTTTTTTTTACTTAAACGTCTCCTATTCTTTCTTTCTTTCTTTCTTTCTTTCTTTCTTTCTTTCTTTCTTGGATTCTCCGATCAATCTATCTATCTATCTATCTATCTATCTATCTATTAATATGTATCTCAGACTTTTCTTTCTTTCTTTCTTTCTTTCTTTCTTTCTTTCTTTCTTTCTCAATCATCTTTTATAAGATTTTCTGTTTTTACTTAAACATCTCCTACTCTTTCTTTCTTTCTTTCTTTCTTTCTTTCTTTCTTTCTTTCTTTCTTTCTTTCTCGGATTCTCCGATCTATCTATCTATCTATCTATCTATCTATCTATCTATCTATCTATCTGTATCTCAGACTTTTCTTTCTTTCTTTCTTTCTTTCTTTCTTTCTTTCTTTCTTTCTTTCTTTCTTTGATTCTCCGATCTATCAATCTATCTATATCTCAGACTTTTCTTTCTTTCTTTCTTTCTTTCTTTCTTTCTTTCTTTCTTTCTTTCTCGGATTCTCCGATCTATCTATCTGTTAATATGTATCTCAGACTTTTCTTTCTTTCTTTCTTTCTTTCTTTCTTTCTTTCTCAATCATTTTTTATAAGATTTTCTGTTTTTACTTAAACATCTCCTACTCTTTCTTTCTTTCTTTCTTTCTTTCTTTCTTTCTTTCTTTCTTTGATTCTCCGATCTATCTATCTATCTATCTATATCTCAGATTTTTCTTTCTTTCTTTCTTTCTTTCTTTCTTTCTTTCTTTCTTTCTTTCTTTCTTTCTTAAGCAACTCCCATTTTATTTTCATTTTCTCCTTCTACTCTTCCATTATTCCTTTCTTTTTCATTTCTTTTCTGATCTTTATTTTCTTTTCCCACAATCCTTCTATTTTAGTCATTTCACTTCCTTTTCTACTTATACTTCTCCCACTAATCTTTCATTCTTTGTCAAGCATCCCCCTTTTTTAGCCTTATTTTTCTCTTCTTTCTGCAACCCCCCTCATCCATCCATCCTTCCGCCCTACCATGTAATAGCACCCCAGGAGGACCTTTCTAATTGCTCTTCCGTGTACCAATGCCAATACGTGTAGACAAGAGGCAGAAGGTCAACTCCTGACGCCCGTCCAATGGTCATTTTGTTCACTTAATCTGACCACTCCAATTTGCCTGTTAATGGTTAAGATGAAATTCACTGAGCGGCAAAATGCCGGCCAGTGGCAAAAATGTCTAACTCTTCCCGTGAATTCCGCGACCATTTCATAACCGAATCTCTACACACCGTCTTCTCAACTAATTGCTGGGACGTGATAGCGTCACGTGCCATTCAAACTGGTGTGGTAAAAACCTTTCACTTTTCGACTGCCCATCACCTCTCCACCTCGACACCGCGTACAAAAAGTCAAAAACGCAGATAACAGAATCAATTCTTCTCCTGCATCCCCATCGCAACTACCCACCCATACTTCGCGGCAAAAAGACGATTTCCGCCTTGGATCTTTCTTGACCTGATGCTGGCGTTCCCCGTTTTCCTCGTTTGTTCCTAACATAATTGGGAAACGGAGGCTGAAGTAGAGAAATCACTCCTCCTTTAAATCGTGCCTGCGAAAATCATGTGATTAGAGGTTAAGAGAAGAATACTTGTATATATATATATATATATACATACAAATGCATATGTAAAATACAGATGGACGTCAATGTATAAGCGCATATACGCATCTATATCTCCATCACTCTCTCTACACACACACATCCTTATGCACACACACACACACACACACACACACACACACACACACACACACACACATATATATATATATATATATATATATATATATATATATATATATATATATATATCTGTTACAAATGAGTATGGCTTTTTAAGGTTTTTTCCTAATTATTCTTATAAATTTCTCCGTATCATACAATGAGCTATCACATGGACTGAAAAGTCTCCTTGGAATAATCCCTAGTAATAACCATATTTGACGGCATATAAGAAGTACGGTTGTATAAGACGCAATCCAATTTCAGCAAGGCAAATCAGAAAAAAAAATAATTAATAAAATTAGTAAACCTACATATGGCATTTAAGACGCAGAGGAATATTAAAAGATATTTTTATTAAAAAAAGTGCACCTTATATGCCGTTTAATACGGTACATTTTGGTATTATATATATATATATATATAGTGGACTCTCCCGTCGTATTCGACGTATGTGGGTCAAGCAGCTCAGTTCTTAGTAACCGACAGCCAGACACCATTACATATGATTTGATTAAAGTGGTGAAAACTTTGTGCAGAACTAACCACACTTTTTGAAGGGTCGAATACAGAGACCGATAAGGTCCCCAAATGAATTTTGAATTCAGAGTTGTCATTCTCCTAGACCAGTTGCCATCCAAGGCTATAGAACCCTGTTTGTCCTGCTATTTACCCATAGCTGGAGGGAGAAGAAGAGGATTCATACCTTTCCCAAGGATATTAGCACGTAAGTGAATGTAATGGATTTGACTGGAATTCGAACTACTTATATATATATATATACTAGCAGTAGAGCCCGGCGTTGCCCGGGGATGTAACAGTAAGAGATAGATCAAGTATCGACCATCATAAAGACTGAAAAATAAAATTGACAAAGATTATTGTTTAACGTTGACGGACATGCATGTCTTAATTAGTTTTTTGTTCTTTTTTGTTTTTTTTTAACGAATTGGTCAAACCCAAACTCAAACAAAAACATTGTTTTCAATCGTTATGAGTCTATCGATTGATGAATAGAATTTTATTATAAACAATTGTCTTGTAAATGGAATTTTTAAAGCATTCTGAATGTAAAAAGAAAGAAAAAAGTGTGCAAGACAATAAGAAACACTATCTGCCAAAAAAAGTGAAGTTTTGTTGAAATCAGTTGAAAAATGTAGGAAATCCGATCCCATATATAATGGAACACACACACACACACACACACACACACACACACACACACACACACACACACAACCTGAGTTTTATAAGTATAACTCTATATGAGTTGTCCCCCTTTCATTCTGGCGACTTAATCGTGTTTTCAAATTGATTTCATGCAAAAACAATTGTGTTTTTCCAATTTGTGGCGCTGTCAAAACCACCGCAAGGTAATTTTACATAGTCCTGTGAAGTTTTGTTGAAATCAGTTGAAAAATGTAGGAAATCCGATCCAATATATAAACGTACAGACACACACACACACACACACACAATCTGCGTTTTATAATAAGTAAGATATATATATATATGTGTGTGTGTGTGTGTGAGAGAGAGATTTATGTGATCAGTACATATATATATGTGTGTGTGTATAAAAGGCATACATGATACACACACGTACATATAGTATATATATTTATTAACGTATATTTGATTTGTTTTTTTACGGAACTTTGAAGGTTATTTAAAACTAGAAAATATTTTTACATTGTAAGAACTTTTGGCAGATAATAATAATTTACTTACACAATTCCTACAAATTAACCTAGAGCCAAGCTGTGTGTGTCGGGGAGACGTGGTCTATTAATACCTTTCCCAAAGGAATGAATATAACGGACAAGACTGGAATTAGATCTCCGATTTACAAGGCAGAGCCAACTTCAAATGTTTTTTTTTTTTCGTTTCATTTCATTTTTGGAAGTGCTATCTGATGATCCGGCGTCCTTTAAAACGATTCTGGTGAAATAAATTATTATATTGGTACATTAAAATGGTCTGTTTTTTCTTTAAAATATTAGCTCTGGATTTTCATTGAGCTCTCAGGATTTCATCCTTCTTGGGATTACCCATATTGATTACCAAGTTCTTCATAACTTATATATATATATATATATATATATATATATATATATAAGTGTGAACATAGAAATCAACAGCGCATGTGATTGCAGCATCACCTCTCGAGCGATCATGAGGCCATAGGATTTCCATATCCAAACTGCTTATATCTACATGCACTCACTTTCCCAAATTATAATACCCTCATAATAAAAACATTTTAAATTATCTATCTATATCTATCTATCTATCTATCTATCTATAGATAAACACTGTATATATATATATATATAATAAATATATATACATACATATATATATATATATATATATATATATATATATATATATATATATCCTTTTTTAACGAATGTAAATTTACTTTCAATAATTTAAAAGAATTATTAGAGAATGAATAAAACAACTAAAAATACATATTTCAAATCCACTTCCTAAGACGAGAGAATGACATAAAATCTTGTAAACAAACTCTTGTTCGGCTTGCTTGCATGTGGACATTTTTATTCATTTCTTGCATTCATTCATTTCTGTTTTATTTTTTTATTCTGTCAACCTGATTTTCTGGCCCGGGGCCAGTAAACGATTTGGCTGCCATTTCCCTGAGCCAAATGTCGAAGCCATTAGCGATAGCGAGACTTCAGAAGTATCACGCATGCGTTGCACGAATGTGGAATCTTAAGTTGACCTTGTTTGTTGTATTTGTGTTACTAATGAGGCTCTTTGTCAGGTCTTGCTTTGCGATTGAGGGTCGAGGTTTGTGTGAACGGGTGAAGCTGTCCAACTGGCCAGTCGGCTGTCCCGAAAGAAGAAAAAGAAGGAAAGTTTTAAAAAAGCAGAGTTTTTGATCGCACAAATTCATGAAAACCAATTTTATTATAATATAGTCATTTATTTCTTCCTAATCCCAAGGATTTTACATACAAATGTACTACGAATAATATGGATAACAGTATAAGATTGTGTAGTGCCATTAATTTTCGTGTTTTTAACTCGTCACTGAATTGGACGATCCAAATATCGGGTGTGCATTATTGTGTGCGTGTATGAGAAACGCAATGAATAAAGGCATGAATCCATCTTTCCCTGCACTTTATCCCATAGAGAGATATATTAACAATAAATATATATATATATATATATATATATATATATATATATGAGAAAGTATATTTAAGTAGGAAGTATTCATCCAAACCAATTTGATTAAAAATCACCGACAAGCTATGTTTAAACAAACAGCTGGTGTCGATTTTTTAAATAAACTTGTTGAAAATATATATATATATATATATATATATATATATATGCTTGGATTGATGTGAGTTTGTGACCCTGGGTTTCACGCTTTTTTGACGATCGCAAGAGCGCGAAACCCAGGTCACAAACTCACATCAATCCAACCAAATATGTTAGCTCTATCTCTGATATTGAGCGCTTTCTAATAAGTACATGCATAATAATATATAAATAATTATATATATATTTATATTTATATTTATATACACACATTTTTCGAACGCATACATATATATATATATATATATATATATATATATATATATATATATATATATATATATATATATATATATATATATATATATATATATATATATATATATATATATATATATATATATATATATATTGCCATATCATATATACGTACATATAACTGAACATTGGCACTCAGTCTGTACCAGGGTTAAATTGCGTATAAGCATGCGCCAGGGCCACCTTTGCGTGGTGTAATGGTTAGCAAGCCTGTCTCGCTAGATCAGTTACAACTGAAAAGTGATTTCGATCCTCACTAGATGCCCCATACTTTCAGCCTTGTGCAAGATCTAAGCTCTGCTTGGAAAATAACTATAAGCATGAAACAGTTTGTCGCCTCTGGTTGTTGACCACAATACCCACTTTTTTTTTTTACATACGTTCTATCCCTGATATTAAAATTTGAACCCATAAATATATTATAGCGTAAAACTATATTTTGTCACATTTATACAGTCGTGTGCAAAATTTTATGACTACCTACTGATTTTCTTGTAAAATACACAATACAGCAGTACAGGGTATTCTATAATAGAAATTTATTATTTTTGGAATGTTGAGTATTTTTATGCTCGTCTTTGTTTTTTTTTTTTTTACTGCAGCGTTTAGACGACGAAGCATGCTGCGTACTAGACTTTTGCAGTACTCAGCAGTTACATCACTGATCCCGACTTGTTTTTATTGCATTTTCCATGTCATT